ATATACTACGTACGGTGCCAAACTAGCTAAAAATGTGATAGTTATCTCATCACCAATCCACCAGAAATCCGCGAGATGAGATAAGTAATTGGTTGGGTGATATAATAAATATTGGACCCAATAGACAGGTCACAGGTTCATGATCATGACATGAAAATTAATTGGTTGGGTTGGGATGCCAATGCAGTGGCAAAAGGAACATGAACATCGCATGCATGCATATAATAAATGCCATATGCTAAACCAGTCAGTTTTTGTATACAATCCATTTCATCATATTAATTTCTAGTCATTCTTCCTCCAGAGTAGTTAAATGAAGACAATAAAGAATAATGTATACGGCAAGATAATATAACATGTTTCGAGTAACATATATATATATATACTACATTCCCAGTAGCAGATAAAGTGGACATCCTCATCTGCTGCTACTGACAAAGTGGCAATGGCACCCTTTGATGCATATGTATATATGTATGTATATGTCCCGTAGATATATAATTAGTCTGGATCTGAATCTGAACATCTGGCTGCATGAACATTTAATATTGTCAACTTACGTACGTACAGTGGGAAATGGGAAGTTGGGAAACCCTTCCTTTACACACAACACAGAGAAAGAGAATGCAAGGAAACAAAATTATAGTCAGCAGAAGGGCCGGGTTTGAAATTTTTGTAAACTCTGTCCTCCCAATAGCGAAACAGCATATATATATCAATATCAGTATCTATCTAATATCTAAGTATTTGTATTATATAAATATATATGTTGGTGGTTTTTGTGTGGTGTGGTCCCTCTCTCTCTCTCTCTCTCTCTCTCTCTCTCTCTATATATATATATATATATAGCCCTTTCCTTTTTCCATACCTAGTGGCCTAGTGGTGTGTACTAGTAATTAACATGTGTTTTCCGCCACATTGGCACATGGGCTGTGAACCCCCCCTCTCTTCCCCCTCTTCCTAATTATCAGGCAGCCATCCTCCGCCTCAATTATACATTCGAAATATAAAGAAAATTATTAATTAAGGAGAGAAGATAGTTTAATAGGTGCAAGAAAACGTTCAGTGCACCCATATTTCCTCAACCATGCATGAAAGCCATGGAGCTCAACATATTGGTTTAGGGTTTAGGCGGGCATTAGAGTCACCACTCATCACTCCTGACGAGGAGCATGGTCAAACTTTTGAGGGACATCTGGGCCATCTTGGAGAGAGACTTCTTACGAGCAAACAAACCACCTATACTTTTCTTTTTGGTCTTTTTTATTACCAAGGCATGAGAAATTTGAATTTAGAACATTTTCCACATCATTGACACGAATTCCCATTCAACGGCGTAACAGTAAACCTTTATGAATTCATCGACGACAATACTCCTTGTCTTGTCATGAGATAAGAGAGTACTCTCTAGAGAGATAACATGCGTACTCCTTGACATGTCAAGAGAAGTAATGAAACTCCTACTTACCGCATAATATATAGTAACTTTTTTTGGGGGGTTTACCATCGTTAAGTAGAGACTGGATTGTCCGCTTAGATTTTGGGTACTTGTGCTATATTTACATCTAAAATTACACTGTTTTGGGTTTAAGAAAGTTAGAGCATCCACAATGGAGGTGTAAATTCGGAGGTGTAAATTTATTTTTATATTCTCTTTACACCTCCGGAGGGATATAAATACGTTTTTTGCTCTAATGGGAAAATATGTAAATCTAATATGTATAATTGTTTTCTTTGTCTTAATTCGTTTTTGTGTTTACTTTATAAAATTAATTTTTTTGGTATTAGGTTAATTGTAATTTTTCAAATAAATAGACCTAAAAATATTTAAATTCGGAGAAGATATGATTTCATCAAAAAAACATTGGGGGAGCATGAAAACCACAAATGAGCAAACAACATGTGATTTTTTTTTCCAGCAATTACTGTAGCCGCGGGTCCTAGCTTTTTATGCTAACTTTTCTTCATTTTTCTTCTCTTTTCTCGGGTAGTTCTCTCTTGCAAAGGATGTAAAAATAGATGTAAATGTACATTTTATTTTACATCTTCATGGTGGTGATGTATATTTACAACCCTTTACATCTCCTCATTGGAGACGATTCCAGTGACAAGGGGTGTATATTTAACATACACCCCCATATACACCCTCCCATTGTGGATGCTCTTATAGGTTTAGTATAAGAGTTTGTTTTGGAAGGATAATGAAAGGGAAGTTGGAGACTATGTAATTTTATATGTACAACATGATACAATCATAAAAAACACAAAAACGTAGATGTGAGTTAGGCTAATTGGTTAGGGCAATGAGTCTGCCATTTGAGCCCAAATTCGAATTTCTCTCCCTGTAAATTATATCAATATAACACATACACACACAAAAGCTGAATTTTTGGGCCTGCTTCCAAGGCTCCTAATCATATCCAAGCCTATTTTTATTGGGCCTTCATTTTTTTCTTAACCCTGTCGACGCCCTCTTTATTGGGCCTTCACCTTTTCTGTTCCAAGCCCAAGCCCGAGCTTATTTTTCAGTGGAAAAGCGTGCGTGCGTTTCCACTCAAATTTATTTGTCAACGACCTTACAGTTGGTTGTTGGCTATTTTACCGTTACAAATCCCGCCCACCTTAACCGCTAAGCCACCCCCCTCAAAATTCCCAATGCAAAGAGCAAAACCTATTTCCCTCCTCTCTAATCTTGATTCACAGATTAACGTCTCTGCACTCTGCCTCTCGTTTTCAACACTAATCTTTAGTCTTTAATAATAATATATATTAGGTATTCTGTAGCTTTGATTTGTCTTCTTCTTTTCTTTTTAGTTACGGTAGCTCCTCTTCATTGCAATGATGCGTGCACCTTGTTCCAATAATCCTCCTCCTCAACAAATCCCAACAACGTAAGTCATCGAGGAGAACAAAAATAAGTTTTCCAGGCCAACTAGTTCATGAACTTGTATGTATATGTGAAATCAACATGTAATTTCTTGTTCTGTACGCAGAAGAAGATGTCACTGTTCCCCTCATGGGCAAAAATGTGGCTGCAGTGAAAAGATCAATCAGCTTTCAGATGAATTAAGTCAAGGCTCTCAGCTGAAGCCGGATGCTGGGTTACTTGCAAATTTTGAATCCGAGAGGGAGAACGGACATTTTCTATCACTTCTTGTGAGTTCCTTTGCATTTTACATGTTTTCTTGTTCCAAATTTTCATACATGTATAGTTGCATCTTCTCCAGACTTCTTCATCCTCGTTCCGACAACCACATGAAGCTTCAAAACCCACGAGCCATGTTCAAAACAAGGAACACTCTAATTTGCTTTATCAGTCGGACCACTCATCATCACCAGGGCTAATTGTTCGAAGGAGTTTGCATGATCCGCTTTCAGGAGCCACCATAAGGAGCATAACAAGTTGCATTGCTAACACTTCAAACCTCAACTTACGTCATACCATAAGCCAAATTGGAAGAGCTAATTTTCCAGGTTCACAGAATGATGAGCTTAATTCTGGAACTTGCACCACATTAATTCTTGGATCTACTCATCTTCGCCATATTTCTTTTTTCCAAAGTCTTTTTGGGCTGCCTAACAACCTTTTGCGGTCTTTGTGGCCTTCCATTTGGCCTCCCCACGTAAGTGCAGATTCTACATTTCGATTCGGTCAAGCTTCTGCCTTTTCTTCTGATGATAATGGGGTCCAAAATGTTACCCAAATTGATCTATGGAGGCAACTACTGATGGAATCGACTCTATATATGCACACACCGGCTGACAGCTTGTTGGAAGGTTCGACTTCATTTTTTGTTGTAACAGCTAACCGTGGAGTGAACTTCAGGCTTGTCACAGAGGTTTGTCTATTATTTCATTCTATCTTAGGAAATCTCTATTCAATGACTACAAATGTGAAGGTGCAGCATGGTAAGCCCTGCTTCCTGTACAGTGTCCACCCGCTGATTCTCAGCCTAACATTAGACATATATGTATAACTTTATTGAACCAATAACTAAATGATTGTATGATCATTAGATCAATCTGTTATAGCATTATACAATAGCTTGTATAATCATTTGATTGCATTGCTTTCGTGTTTAATTCTACACGAGCAGAATGCTGGAGTTATTTACCAACGGCCTCTGCACGTTTCAATTGAAATGCGCAATCGTTCTGGAGCTATGTGGCTTGATGTGGATAGCATGTCATATGAGGTATTCTCACATCAAAACTTTCATTTGTCACTGAGTTTTTTGTCAATAATACTTTAGTATCTCTTTTGTCTTACTTACTCCTGGCATTCTACAGGAGTTGTTGGCTTTAGAAGATCATATAGGGAATGTCAGCACAGGATTATCTGAGGAAGCAGCTGTTGCATCTCTCAAGCGCAGCAATTACTTTTTGTTTGCAGAAGAAAATGCTCAGAAAGACTTTTGCAGCATCTGCCAGGTATTTTGCTTATACTTTATATTAATTTGACTTTTTATCAAGTTTCTGTGACTAAGCGATGAATGCCTATCAAAGTGAATGGCATTATAATGTTGGTCTTCATGACAGGAGGATTTCGTAGAGGAGGATGAGCTAGGAACATTGGATTGTGGTCATGGCTTCCACATTGCTTGCATTAAACAATGGCTGGGATATAAAAATGTATGTCCTATATGCAAATCTCCCGGTTTATGTATTACACGCCCCTCGTCCTCACATATTTAAAGTCTGTAAAGTATGTCTTATGAAGCTGAATTTTTCTGAAAAGTACATGGTGAGGATTGGGGACTACTCTATATATGTTCTGTTTCTCCATGTTCACCAGCCTAGTTTAGTTTAGCTTCATTTTCTTTTTCTGTAAATGTACAGATTATGTATCAAAAACATTGAGGATATCTTAATGTATGTACTCTAAATTTCTCACTCTGGTGCGGATTTGAACGTCATGTATGATGTATGTTTATTTATGCATGATAATATGGAGAACAAGAATCAAGATGAACAGAAACATAATTTTTTATAACGACTATTCTAAGGAGTACCCAGTAGTTCATGGCAATATGTATCTGTTGAACATCTATGAACCACCTTTTCTCAGACAATTACTTTGTGAAATAGAATTTGATGAAACCTGTATCAAAAGTTGAAGTTAGAAAGAACCATTGTGCTACTGAAGAAAGGATCCTCTCCTGCTCTAGTAAATCATTGGTTTTAGTAGCAGCTTCCCTGTGACATCGATTCACTGTCACCATCAAAGAATAGGGGTGCAACTCCTTGTGACAGTAAATTAGGCTCACCATCAATGCCGGGACGGGGTATTTATTTGTCAATCATGTATGACATTAGGAAACTCTAAGTTGGGACTTGTTTATGATGTTTTCAGTGGATGTTTATCGATCAAGTCATAGAGCTCATCTCCAATTCCAAACCCAAGCATCCTAGCCATGTCACTGGTCTTCAATCTAGGCTTTGGAATGTCATGTTGCTTCAACCATGAGTACACAATAAAAACCTTCTGCATAACGAATAGTTCCAGTGCCTCAGGATTGAAGACCACCCCCATCCTCGTGTTCATCTGCAAAGATAAGATTTCAAAGGTCATTCCATTAAACAATGGTAAACCCCTCCTCACTCTCAAACTCTGACACAATGGCATTGTTATAAAATACAATACCTGGTGTGGAACCAACATGGCAGCATAACGAGCCAGTTCTCCGGCTCGCCAATCCAAGAGGACAGGCAACCAGGGATAGGAGGCATCAAGTCTCAAAAACCAGAGTCTTATATCAGGGAATTCTGATAGTTCTCTGGGATCACGTGGATCTTCTCTTGTATAGTTAATGGTAAAGCCAATTGTACGTTCAAGAAACTCTTTTGGCTTGGCTGGTTACAAAAATTGCAGTAATACTTCATCAGGGTTTTGCCTAAAAAGTCATCATGAACTTCGACTTGTAAATCTGATGCTCAATTGATTGCTTTACCTGATGAAGGATTGGTAATCCCAGTTGCAGAATGAAATGGGGATAAGTCAAGACCCCGAATCACATCATTATCAAGAACTATTTCAAATCGACCTTCACTTGGTGGCATTGGCGGTTCAACTTTACTAGTGTCTGTCAACCACAATAATTCATCAGTTAGATTTGACCAAGTTTTCATATCCAATATATTGGTTGTATAAAAAAGTTTTGGCCTTTTATCCTATTAAGGGAACAAGCTTTCTGAAGTTGTCCAAAAGATAAAGGGATATAAACAAAGTGAGCAGAGAACCCAATTAATGAATTAAGAAAGGTTTTACCTTCTTCCTCATCGTACAAAGAGATGTCAAAATTCCCAGATGGATTGAAGGCAACTGAGACTGCCACTTGTCCTTGCCGCCTATTTAAGTTTGAAATGGCCAAAGAGGCTATGGAATCTGAGATGGGTGGTCTAAGGGGAGTCCATGGAGCAGGGGAGGATATGGCCTGTCTGGAATAACAAATGGGAAGCAGGGTTTGGAAGATTGCAGCCATTGCTGTTGAAGCTGCCAGCCAGCCTCTCAGACAGTTAATACAGTTGTTTTTCTTTCTTGCATTTTCTTGTGGCCTTTGTGTTTTGAATGCTCATGTTATCCCTTTATGGGTTTTTATAACATGTGCCTCATCCTCAGTATCAAATTTCAAATTTGGGCTGGGCTGGGCCATCAATCAAATTTGAATAATGTGGTTGAGATTATGTTTTGGAGCCCATGAATGAGGAAGGCCAATCTGCAATTAGAGGCCCCATTGGGCAGTGCCTGTTGCCTGTCTGTTTCAATCAATGTTTGCCTTTTGCCACACAACCTTTTCTTGTGTACCAACCAGAGCCTGCCAGCACAATATATTATCAGTAAGAATCATCAACCACCACATGCCAATCCATCCATAAACCACTTCATGTTGTCAACATAAGATATAATTAAGAACAAAAAATTGGCTCAATTTCGTGTTATGAAATATGAAAAAAAGTTTTAAAATGACGACCCCAAAACCTATCTGTCTGTCTCTCTGTCGTTGAGTCTGTTTAGTTTGCTTCTGTGCTGCCACATGGGTTGGGTTGGGTTGGGTTTCGTTTGAAGTAATTCCACATTTAATTGATGATTTATAGGAAAGAGATGGAAAGACGTGTGGCGATAATGCACCTCACACTCAGTTTGCGTTCTTTTTATTGTTGACACCAAATTTATTTCTATATGAGAAGACGTTTCGCCCAACTTTTACTTCCATATTACTCCTACCTAATGATCATATATTTTTTCAAAAAATAAAGAAAAATATATCCATAGCTCTTGGAAATTACTAATTGAAGTTCAAAGTGGCATCCATAATTTTTTTTTTTTTTGGTCTGGGCATCCATAAAATTTAGAGGCTTTTCATCTCATAAACAACACATGTGAGACAATTGACGCAACAGGGCATTCCATGTACATTTGGTCGATGACAAAAAAGAAAGGCATGGTCCCAATTCAGCGTTGGTCTAAGCCTTTCATTTCGTGCCCACAACTCATTCATCTTCTATGTAACATAATTGTGAAAGGGTCCATAATTCATCATTTTGTTTATTTCTTTTGGACGAATTCTCTGTTCGTAGTTCTACCGCAAATCAAATCAAAGCATCCTTTTCCAATCACGGGTTTGTTTTTCTTTTATTCGTAATTTTTTCATCTACTCTCGATGACTTATGGCTCGTTTGAGAGGGTTTCAATATGGTTGATGAATAAAATAAAGTTGAAGTTATTTAGTTATATCAAAATAAAGAAAATAAAAAATTGATATTCTTAACACAGTCAAGTTTAATGGCAACTATACCCCTCTGGCAACTAACCGAATGCAACAAGATGAGATGCTTCCTTCTCCAGTGGAAAAGCCAAGAGACTTGTCATGTCATGCTCCTCTATTTTCAGTATTTTTTCAATTCCCCCCCACGCGGCTTTACTCTTTTGCTTCTTCTCTAAGCAAAAGATCAAAACAATTGACCAAAAAAGAAGCAGCAAAATATTTGGAGCAAGCCATTGCCCACCTACCTACTTTAGCAGTAATATTAACTTGATATTTTTCCATAATTTCTGCAACGAATGTTTAAAATCCAATTATGCATCAGATGTCTTTATTCCCACCAAGAAAAGCAAAACCCAAATAAATAAATAAAAACAACAACCTTCTTCTACACAAAAGAAAAGCGTCGAAAGGTTGCTTGGCGAAAATAAATTAAAATCGCAAAAGAGAAACGGAAAATATAAAAAGGGTATTTTCGTCATGAAAAAAATACCGACAGAGAACATAGGGCCAGCGAGTGCCAGTCGCTCTCCAAACCGTAATAATCGAAAACCAAAGATCTCAGCTGATATATATTATATAGTAAATTACAATCTCTCTCTCTCACTCACTCAGTCTCTCTCTCTCTCTCACACACACACACTCACTCTGAATTAACAAAACGGACGCAATTAACAATTACACGCGGCTTTTTTCTGGTTCTGGTTTGGGATAGGTTTCTAGCCTCGTGGATATTTTTCTTAGTCTGCAACCCAGAAACAAAAACCGCAACCCAAAATGTTATGTTTTAGATCAAACCCACCAAAAAGATTCCTTCTTTTTCTTTCCCTTGCCCTCTTCATTGCTTTAACTTCAGGAAGCTCTCACATTTCGCACACTTTTCGAACAACAGGTACTGTATAATTTTTTTTGCTTTTATTTGCCTAGAAAATGGTTATTTTGTGTTATTCAAGAAAATGGGTTATTGTTGATGTTTTGTTTTGCTTCTTTTTTTCTTTTCCTTCTGGTTGGTGCAGGTGTAAGGGTAGGTGGCGAGAGTGAGTATGAGTATGGTGGAGCGGTGACATGGGACACAAGGAGGTCTCTTGCAGAAGGAACTGTCCAAAACTCGTCCTTGATATTGGCTGAGGAGAGAACATACAGGAAGGACCCTCTTGATGGGTTCAAGAAATACACTGGTGGTTGGAATATCAGCAATGAACATTACTGGGCTGTGAGTTCTCTCAACCCTTGATTAATTTTCATATCCTGGCTGTTTTCTTTGTGCTTTTTATGATTTGGGTTTCTCTGAGTTTATGAATATAATCATGTTGTTTGGGCTGTCTTGCTACTTGGATGGACTGTTAAATGGTCCTTAAGAGTTAAGACCACAATTGGATAAAGAGCAGCTTACGCACTAGAATTGGAATATAAAAATCATCTGACATACCACAAAGTAAAGCAGCACCCAGAAAGAAAAATTTGGACTTGCTAAGCACGTGCCATTCTATATCAGATGGGATATAGATTTCCGGAGCTGAATAGTCCACTGCTGCACCCAAACTCATCTTTTTCCCGTTAAGCACCAAACCCCTCTTTGCACCCATATATGAATTCTAGCATGTTTTCCTCCAAATAAATTAACCTTTCAGTACGATAAAGAAGCAAAGAAATTATATCTGCTACAAACCAATAGTGCAGAAGGAAGGCTCTGTTTGTTTTGTGATTTTTATATTAAATTGTTTGCCATGGCAGGCACTTTGAGTGCAGTGCCGTCATGGATGGGCAGCCTCCTCTGTTTTTTCTGGACAATTTGAATCCACTAGTAAAACTTTTAAGGGGCAAGATGGTTCATTTTGAAAATTTGCTGCTTTCCTTACTGACATTGTGGTTGTTTAAAAACAGTTCTTTCTACTTATAAATGCAGGCCTTGAACTCTGCCAAGAATGTTATTCATAAATTAATAATTTATTTTGTATTTTGCTGATGTCATGTGTTTTCTTTGTTTCTCAAATCCTGTTTTTATCTTTTTGAGATTGTTTTTAGACCCTTTTTTTTGTTGAGATTGTCTGGAGATTGGAATGTATGTTTAATGTCTCTCAACAAATATACATTTACATTGATTATTGATGTATGATGTAGTCTGTTGGATTCACTGCGGCTCCCTTCTTTGTCATTGCTGGTGTCTGGTTCGTGCTTTTTGGGCTAAGCTTATCCTTTATCTGTCTCTGTTACTGCTGTTGTCCAAGAGAGCCTTATGGTTATTCTAGAACAGCCTATGCTCTCTCTCTCATCTTCCTTATTTTATTTACCCTTGCGGCAATGTAAGTCTCCCTCCCTCTCTCTCTCTCCCTCTCTCATACACACATTTGATTCGAATGGACAAGTACTGCCTTCAATTTTTGTGAGCTGATGACATCCTTTAATGTTTGTCTGGTCCATTCTAGTGTTGGATGCATTGTTCTGTACACTGGCCAGGGAAAGTTCCACAGCAGTACAACAAACACACTGAAATATGTTGTGAGTCAGGCAGATACAACTGTTGAAAACCTCAGGAATTTGTCAGGTTATCTTGGTGCAGCTAAAAGGATTGGAGTTGATGCTGTATTTCTGCCAGCAGATGTTCAAAGTAACATTGACAATGTTTTAACAAAGATCAACTCTGCTTCCAATACACTTTCTGATAAAACTGAAAAGAATTCAAAGCGTATACAAGATGGACTGGATAGCATGTAAGTAGATTTTCTAGAAGATCTGGGGAACTTCTGCTCACAATACGGTGTATAACATTTATCTCTTTCTATGTTTTGCAGGAGACTGGCTCTCATTATTGTTGCTGCTGTTATGCTCTTTTTGGCCTTTCTTGGATTTTGTAAGTCTTCTATTTTCTTTTGATTAGAGGCAGGGATTTTCAAGATTTGACTATTAACATTATATCTTTTTCTTTGACTACTTGTTGCAGTATTTTCCATTCTCGGGATGCAAGTCCTTGTGTACTTGTAAGTGAAATATAGCTTGAACTGTCTCCTTTTTACTTTTTAAGAGAGATCTCAAATATTGGAAGCAGTTGTGTCTCAGTGCTCAAATATATTTTCACAAACACTTGCATATTTGATGCAGCTTGGTCATTGTTGGGTGGGTTCTTGTTGCAGGCACATTCATTTTATGCGGTGTATTTCTCCTTCTCCATAAGTAAGTACTGTTTGGTTATGTTCACTTCATATTACTTTCTTAGTCGCACACTTATATTGAATCATCATATTAGCCTTCAGTGTGACATTTAGACGCATCTTAGTTATCTCATAAGAACAAATTTATGATATGAGTGTCACTCAATCTAAACTTATGACTGTTCTGCTGCATTTGCTTTGTCCATCCGTTTTCAAATCGTCTAACTTCTTGTCCTATTTGCACAGTGTGGTTGCAGATGCATGTGTTTCCATGGATGAGTGGGTCATGAACCCCACAGCCCACACTGCATTAGATGATATACTCCCATGTGTGGACAATGCTACTGCTCAAGAGACCTCTTCACGCACCAAGGAAACAACCTACCGACTCGCTACTGTGGTTAACCGTGTCATCACCAATGTCTCGAATAAGAATTATCCACCCATCGCGGGACCTTTATATTTTAATCAGTCTGGCCCACCGTTACCCGTTCTTTGCAATCCATTCAATTCTGATCTCACTGATCGACAGTGCAGCCCTGGTGAAGCGAGCCTGCAAAATGCCTCAGAGGTAATATTAACGGCTTATCTAAAATTGACATACATGTTGCCTGCATCTTTCTCTAAGTTTGGAAACA